AAACAAGAAATAGCACTGGGATTCCTCACCAGAAATTAGGCCTGACTTCAAGACCAGAGCTTTCTTTCAAAATGATTAGCTCCTATAGCAGCCAACTGCTCACATTATTTAAAAGTCATAGATGCCACTGCTTTCCTTGCAGGAGAGATCAATAGTCTTACCCTGGGGCAGCCATGAGAATACAAACCCCCCATCAACTACAAGCTCTATTAGAAATAGAGGGTCATCAATGGTTCACAGGGTGAAGGCTAAGTAAATACTAGGCTCTCCTCCCCAACTCCCCTGAATTGACCCAGAAGGTTTGTCAAACTCTCAATTCTGGCACCTGACTACCAACAAACACACAAATCCAGGCCACACACCAGTGCATAGGAACTATTGAACAAGTATATTCAAGCAGGCCTGACTTAAAAGATGAAGTTTTACTTAACCCTGAAGCAAAAGGATAATAAATCACAGCAGTTTCACAAAAGGTGGGAACAGAAAGGCTGGGTACCTCACAGTTAGTCTTTAGGAAGTAAAAGAGGCAAAATCCCTACCCCCTACTACTTTGGACCAAAAAACTAAACTCATAGCACTCACTAGGGCCTTACAGTTATGGAAAAAACTCAGAGTTAATATCTACACTGACTCAAACTATGGGTATCTAACATGTGCTCATGCTACTATTTAGAAAGAAAGATGACTTTTAACAGAAAAAAAACTCCTCCATAAAAGACCATAAAGAAATTTTGGAACTCCCGACAACTGTGCACTCCCCCAAGAAGTACCAGTAGTACACTACCGAGGCCACCAAAAGGGGAACACAGATAGAATCCAAGGCAATACACTGGCAGTTGGGCAACTAGATAGTGGCTCGGTCATCATCAGTCACCCTAGAGACAATCTGTTCCCCAACCCCCCTCAGCCCCTCAAAGGTTCCCCTATGCTACTGTGAAGGTCTCATGGGCCTTAGAGAATGGGTTGTCTATAGACCGGGCAGGCTGATGTCAAAGAATACACTTTTATTATCATGGAAATACATAAAAATGCTCCACAATGACATCCACTTGGGGATGAATGCCCTGAATACCTTTGTCTCCCAGCTATTTGTGACGCAAAATTTCATAATACCATAAAGGAAGTAACCCTAGGGTGTATGCGCTGCTCTAAAAATAACCCCCAGAGTCACGTCCCTCCTCCTCCCCTCCAGATACCAACACAACAGCCAGGAACATACCCTGGAGAGGATAAGCAAATTGGTTATGGTCAGATGTCATCTAAAGCTGGATTTAAATATTTACTAGTATTTGTAGACACTTTCACCAGATGGACTGAAGCCATTCCTACCAGAACAGAAACAGCTACTGAGGTGGCCAAGTACTTACTAAAAGAAACCTTACCTAGGCTGGTCTACCAAGAAACTTACAGAGTGACAATGGACCCCCTTTAGTAGCCAAGATTACACAATGGCTGGTTTAAGCTTTAGGAACCAATTATCACTCATACTCTTCATGGAGACCTCAATCCTTGGATAAGGTAGAAAGAGCTAATCAAACCCTAAAAAGGACTCTAGTCTAGCTTTTCCATGAAACCTCAAAGTCATCAGTGCCTGTCACCTTTAGGTCTCATGAGAATGAAAGCTGCACCTAAAGGAAAGTTTCAAGTTAGCCCCTTTGAACTCACCCATGGCAGGCCCTTTCTCAGATCTGACCTGCTAATAGATGAGGAAATCCTTCAGCTGTTGTTTTACACCATGAATCTAGGACAGGTTAAAAAACATAACAGGAATAGAGAAACAAAATTCTGCCTGCCCCCAATAAAGACTATCAACACAACCAATTTAAACCCGGAGACATTATCTATTTAAAAAGCAGGAGGGAAAACTGTCCTGAGTCCCAGCTACAACTCAGATGGAAAAGTCAACATTAGGTCCTAATAAGCTCCCCGATTGCAATAAAGCTCGAATGGATAAACAGGTGGGTTCACTTATCTCATCCTGTTTCCCGTGAGTCCCTACAGAAACCACAACCTAAGAACTACACTTGTGAATCCACTGAGGACCTCAAACTCCTTTTTGAAAACAAAAATTTGCCCAGGCTAGTGTGGCTCAATTGGTTGGAGCACCATCCCATAACTGAAAGGCTGTGGATTTGATTCCTGGTCAGGGCACATGCTTAGACTGCTGGTTTGATCGAGGTGCGTACAATCCCCACTTTGGGCACATACTGCAGGCAATCAATCATGCTTCTCTCTCACATCAATGTTTCTCTCCCTTTCTATCTTTCTAAAGAGCAATGAAAAAATGTCCTTGGGTGAGGATTTTTAAAAAAAAACAACCTGTTACAGATACATAATTTAATAGCTAGGCCTTAGTGTAATTGTCTTTCTCATATTCCTGGTACTTTTTTTACTAGCCTGTTGATACACGCAGCCTCCTCTCCCAGAAAAGAAATTTTTCTGTCCCCGTTGGATTTAATGCTTCTCAGATAAAATCTCAGGTGTTCCACTCCCCTAACGATCTTGTCAAATTTGTCACCTCTGGGATACAACAAAACCAGGTCAAGATGATGACACTTTAGAGATTCCGGTCCATCCCTACTTCAGAAGAGTCAGCCAATGGCCTCTCTGCTCCAGTCTCACATCCCATTCCCTTGACCCCCTTAGATCAGGCAGGGACAGACGTCCATATCCTACATAAGCCAGGACCATGACCTTGTTAACATAAATCACTTGCTGAAGACAAACTGTCCTCCCTCATCAACCCTAAATGATCTGAGGGATTGAAGTCTCTAATGGAGCAATGAAGCAAAATAGTAAGAAGCGAGGGAAATTCTTTGACTAGTGAAATAAGGGAGACAGAGAAAAAAAATCATTAAACAAGGCCAAATAATTTGAGCAATTTATAGCCAGCTAATGAATCACACAGTTTCATTTTCCCTAACAAAGGACACTTAGGAGCAAATGGCTTACACAATACAGACCCTCCTGGGGAAGACTGGCCTTGGTCCTGGCCCCTCTACAATGATGTTCTTTAAAAAATACAACTGACCAAAATAACCCCTGGCCCTTCTATACCCATTGCGATGAACAGTATATTGAAGGAAACATCTGAAAATCTAATGAATATTCTTTTAAAACCCTCCTGAGACCTGCACTAGAAACCCAGCTGGCCAAAGAAACATAAAAGCCTCAGGACAAAGCAATCATGCTGTGCCCTCTCTGGAGCATCCCCATCCCTCGTATTTCTGCTGTCTTTTTCCTGAATTCTAAGTGACCCCATGAGACTTGCAACCAGAGGAGCAGTGGGCAGGAGCAGTGGGCAGCAGCAGTTCTTCCTAGGCTAGCCCCCTAAACCTGTCTCCAGGGCCCCCTTTTCTCTGACTGTCTCTCTCCTGTTGCTTCTTCTGCCTTCAGCCCTTCTTTTGTTTCACTGTGCCCAGCTTTAACAAACAGCTTTCAAAATCAACTGGACTCATGTTGTGGAATGTTTCCTACATGAGGTCAAGAACCCACACACTACCGGTGGGCCTAAGGCACACAGCACACCTGTTCTGGACCCAGACCCCATCCAGTGACAGAGACATGAGGAAAGGAGAAAGGACCTTGGAATTCTCAGTCTGGAGGAAAGGGGCTTTGGGCAAGCTGCTTTTCTTTTTTTTTTTTTTTTAATTTAATTTCCCTATTTGTAAGATAGAATAGGTTTTAGATAATCCAAACAGATCCTTCCAATAGTAGCATTTATCCATTGCACTGTATCCCTTTGTTTTTCTCTCTGTCCCCTCCACCAGATTGTGAACTTCCCATGGAAAGACTTGCTCTTGATTTTTCTTGGGTTACTGGCAGTGCCCAGCACTGGCCGGTGTCCAGGAGGCAGCAGTGAGAGTGGAGACTGGCTCTATGCCTCCTTCCTGAACATTTCCATTCTTTTTCCTCCAGGCTATTAAGGAAGAAAATAAAGGAACTATAGGCTCTTGGACCTTTGCATAAAATCTGCTTTGCAAGTTTCACTAGTTCTTCATATTTAAAAAATTTCCTTGCCAATGTCCTGTGCATTGATTATATAAACCATTATTTTGAGGTGCTGTCACATAACTTCTAGCTGATGGATGGAGGTAGGAAGAAGTGGAACAGTCTAGGGAAGAAAGAACTGAAGCAAGGACTGGCACAAAATGGAACATTCAAGGGGCCAGTACTTGGTCCAGATGAAATGATCACCATTTAATTCTGTCTTAAGCATTAACCTGACAAATAAAAGCTGGTCCAGAAACTGGAACAGGAGTGGGGGGGCAGTGACAGGGAGGAGAATAGGAAGTAGTAATAGAGATTGGGTTATTGTTCATGCATGTGCCTATCTTAGCATAAATAAATGAATAAATGAGTGAATTTTAGACAATTCTTATAAAGAAGGTTGGGGGTGAGGGATAGCAGCTTAGAGGTCTGAGTCTGATTTATCCTACTTCACTGCTGAATAAGTTATTTAAAAATAACTCTAAATAAACTCTAACTACTTTACTACATTTACTACTATCTATGCTCTCGAAGTTATGTCTCTTGTGTCCAGGGCTGAGTTCATGAGCGTAGAACCTGAGCAGTAACACAGGATCTTGCATTCAGACTGTGAACCACTACAGGGAGGAATCCATGAGACCCATGTTTATGTCCCAGGAAACTTAGGGCCTGGCAGAGGGGATGGAAATGAGTGGACACAGGCAGGGAAGCACCTAGAAGTTCTGTTCTGTGATCCTGTAGCAGAGAGACTAAGGAACAGCCATTGTCCTCAAAGTGCTGGGCTGCCAAAATAGCCTACAGACCTAAGGAAAGGGGATCTGACAGACTGAGCACAGCAGCACATGGGATGAGGAGCCATCACCTGAGGAGTAAACTGGATTTTGCCCCATGACCATGTGCTCCTCATACAACAAGGCTTTGTCCCACAGACCTGTTGACCATGACCATGATCATGTTGGCAATACCCTGCCCTCCTTGCCTTCCCACTCCCCTGTCCCGCTTGCATTTACCTCCTGCTGGTGCCCGAACAGCCAGTGGGAGGGAGGGCAGGGGAACTGCTGGAGGGCTTTGAGTAGCCACTGTCTGTGCAGGTAGAGCTGGGCTGCCTTGAGCAGCAGCAGAACCAGACCCAGCAGGAAGGTCACCTGCAGGAACTCAGAGATGCTGCCCAGGGCCATGGTGGGGCTCAGCACAGACACACTCATGGTGCAGTGGCTTCTGGATGGCTGACTGTCTCTGACTACATGAGGCCAGTCTGCAAATATTGTCCCTCCCACCAGTGGGGAGGTGGAGGGTGGAGGGGGAGGGCAGAGCTTAGAGCCACTAGAGTTGATTAACTGTGCTGGCTCCACCTTGTGGAATAGGAAGAAAAGCTTTTTTAGCTGACAGTGGCAATGGCTGTGTACATTTCAACTTTCTACTCATCAGTTTCCTGACAAATATGTAAAGAGCATCTATTATGTACCAGCTAGTATGCTGGGTTTCTGGACACAGCTGCAGGCAAAACACACATGAACCCTGAGTTCTGGAAATCACAGTTAGTGCACCAAATGTTCTGTAGGTGTGGTTATTTCATTATTATTTTCATTACAGAGATGTGAACAAAATACAGATAGGTATATGGCTATTGAGAGTTTGAGTTGAGGTTAGAATCCTTCTCTGTTGTCTCCAAATCAAAAGTTTTCCCCAGTACTTGTCCCCAGTCTACCATTCAGTTACGATGGGAAATGAATGTGCTGGTCAGCAGAACACTGGACTTGCACTCAGGAGGTTCAGCCCAAGGTCTGGCCCACTGCATATAAAGTCAGCAACTGATACTCAGTCAGCCTCAGTCTTTTCTTTTGTAGGTAAAAAATAATCTTTTCCCCAAGAATGTCATAGGAATGCTCATTTATTCATTCAATCATTCAGTCACTCAACAAATATTTCTTAGAGTACACAATCTAGTATGTAAGGTCAGAAAACAGTACAATAAAATATGATAAGGCCTTTAGTAGAGAAATGAATGGTGATCTGGGTCTACTGAGAGGAGGAGAAAACTAAAGGAAGAGAATGGAGTCTTACAGATAAATAGGAGTTCATCAGGAATTGGAGTGTCAGAGGGGGGGTTGGGCACTGAAGCCATCAGGGAGACATCTGTACAAAAGAAGGGCATAGGGCAAGTTAACCTGTTTACTTCACCGTTTTTACAAATCTGTCCCCCAATATCAAATTCAAGGCCCACAATCTGGGTACTAAAACAAAATATATTTGGAAAAATTCCTTGGCAGCCAGCCTCCCAAAGGGCCCCATTTCCTACTGACCTGCTCCTGCATCTGTCTACACTCTTACTCCCAATACCCTACTCCCCTATCCTGCCTTCTGAAAGGTGACTCCCCACACAACACAAGTTGTTCACTTTTTACCCTAAATCCTGAGCTCCTGTCCAGATCCAAGGGCCCGGGTATGTAACCTTTTACACCCATTCCTCCCAAACTTCCCCCCATTCTGTGGTTATTTTCCACCCCTTAGGTTCCAACCCCAGGGACCTTTGGACCCTGGCTATCTCTTACTTGGCTCAGCACTGGCTTTTCACCATCAGCATGAGGGGCAGTAGTGGACTTCAGGCTCAGGAAGTGTTGATATAAATTTCGGTTGTAACTCTTTCTTTCTCAGTCTCAGTAACCTCTGTTTCTTCTGCATAGGTGTTCTCATAATGCTTGGTGATAGTAACATTTACTGAGTACTTACTGTGTTTTTGGCACTGAGCAAAGGATTTATGTTTTCCCCTATAACAATTCCATAAAATATTTTAAAATCCCACAGCTCTAGTAAGCAAACAAGGGCATAGAGAGCTCAGCTGCCTGTCCATAGTTACCCAGCTAGTACAGGTAGAGGCAGGATTCAAAGCCAGGCAGCCTGGCTCCAGAGATTTGCTGTCAACCATTAACATAAAGAGATAAATTGGGGGGTTGAGATTGCAGACCACACTTGGCAGTCCCCAAACTTCCCAAGATTCATGTCACATTTGATGTGCTTTATCCAGTGTTTCTGAGTAGCAGGTGAGTATTTCACAAACTCCACATATTGGCCTAAATGCCAGCCTTACTATTCAGGGCAACTTTTGTGAGAAAAGGTTGGGCAAACCATATGGCTAGATCCAACAGTCATCAAAATAGTATTCATGGAGGATTTTTAATAACACGAGAGAAGCTTATAACAAAGTGATCAAAGCAGAATGTACAACTGTCTGTTGATTGTTGGCTTACCTCTTAGAAAGTTGTGCTTGCCTTGGTTCTTATTTATTAACTAGTAAATATCTTTTTTACTCATTTGATATCCTGCTACTCCAACCACAGCCTTCATGAAAATTCTAACTAGGTATTCTATGACCTTATGCTTCCCATAATCTGGACCAGAGGACTGTGCCCACTCATGAGGCCCGATAAACAATGACTAATGAATGAAGGAAGGAGGAATAAAGGAAAACTTTGGACTGGTTAAGTCTATTAAACAGACTAGAGACAGTTTAGCTGTCATATTTTAGCAGGGCATTACTATTTTTATTCCTAGATTTTTTTCTGGCTGAGCTTATAGGCAACAGAAAGGCAGAGGAGGTGGTGTGACATGAAGCCCCACAGCAGCCACTCGAAGTATTACTCCTGTGAGCCAGTGGCCCCAGGAACCTCTTATTTTCTATGTTTGATAAACTTGGGTTTGATGCTGATGCAATTTATCATGTTGATTTTGCTCCTGGAGAAAGACTGTATCTACCAAGGAAAACCCTTTGAAACCTAAATATTTGTCTGTTTTTTTTTCCATCTAAGGGATCACAGCAAACTATTGCATTTATTTTCAGTTGAGGGATTTCTGTATCACTACTTCCTACCTGAAATGAAATATATAGACAACTTCGAGAAAACACTCAGGACCCTGCACAGTGCTAAACTTCTAAAAAATGTCTCCTTCATATTTGCGTAATGCTTATACTTTTCCAAAGCACAATCACAACTACTCCTCACCCTACCAAGTGTTATTAATTTTATTTTACAGGCAAAAAATTGAGCCCCAGTGAAGCTGGTTGACTTTTTCAAGGTCACAAAGCAAGTAAGTGCTATAGTTAGGACTATGACCTCAGATTTCTAACTTCAGATATCCTACAAGTTGACTATCATTTATTTCTATAATATTTACTATGTGCTGACACGGTGCCAAGTACTTTCATATATTATCTCCTTTTATCCTTACAATAACCCTGTCAAAGTGTCAAAGCACACACCACCCTCTGAATGATCTCTCCAATGTCCTCTCAGGCTACTGCCCTGCCATGAGGCAGTTTCTAGAAGACACCAGATTGTTTCCCACCCCAGAGCCTCTGTACTTGCTGTTGCCTCGACCTGGGATGCTCTTCCCTTACTCTTCCCATCACCAGCTCCTCCTCATCTTTTGGGTTTTACCTTAAAAGTCATCTCCAACAAGAGACTATGGGAATTACTGGTATACCAGCAGGTCTTCCCTGTTAGTGTCTCTTGGAAAACAGTGCTTATTTTCTCCTTAGCACTTACCATTGTCTGAATCATTTTACTTAACTCTTTGTTTCTTATCAGTCTTCCCCATAGAATGAAAGGGCAGGGTAATGTCTGTCTCATTCCCATGAGATATGTAGATAGTGCCTTGCATTTTAGTAGGTCCTCAACAAAAATGTGTGGAATGACTTAACAGAGGTGGAATTGAGGTGTTTTTCTTTAATTGCACAACAAATTGGTATTATCTTTCTAATGAACAGTTTTAATGCTGAAAAGAAATTTATTTTTGGCAGCAGTATAGATAGAGGTTTGGTGGCAGACACCAGAAGGCAGCAGTTTGGCCAGTTTGGGGTTGTTAAGCCAACCAAAGAGCAATAGAAAAGTTATTTAGACTTAGGACACTGAAACCAAAACTGGATAAAGGACTGAACTGGAGATGGATAGGACTGGCTGACAAGCTGGGAATGGGGTGTAGGAGGAGGATCCGGTGCTCCCAGGGCCTGCCTGTGTAGGCTGAGGGACTCAGGGCATAGCTGGTAATGCTAGGTTCTTGAGTGGCCTGGCCTTCTGTCATTATTACAGATCGAGCAGACAGGGAGTATAGACAAGGTGATGTCCTGGGTCCATGAATTCCCTAAGCCCACCCACTTTGGTTTTGAGGGTTCTTTGGCTTCCTGAGTATTTATGAACCCAACCACGCCAAAGCTGTGAACAGCCAAAGGGGTGAATATTCTCAGGAGAGGGCTAGACCTACCAAGAGCAAAGTTTCGTGGCACCATGTGGGAAGGAGTCCTTAGGGTCTGCACCCTAAGTCTGGGCAGCTGATACTCACATCCTGTTTATCAATAAGTCTGCTCTGGGAATCCCACACTCCCTGCTTAAATTGATCTTCTCTCGTTCTGCAGATTTGAAGGCCCTAAATGTACATGACTTTTTCCTCCAGTGCAGTGCTGAGTGGTCACTCTCCCTGTCCTTGGTGTGAGGTGACAGGATCCTTCTCTTTCTTGTTTCTGTCAGTCAGTAATCCAGGGAAGTGGGAGCCAAGTGCCTTTTCCTGCTGGGTGTGTCTTCTCCCCAGGCCAGGCAGGACAAGGATCTACGAAGTGTGTGAGTGTGAGAAATAGAAATAACTATTAAGAATATCTTATTCCATAGCCCCTAGGTTTTCCCTCTTGGCCCTCATTTTTCATGTGTGGTTTACTGTTTTGTAGAATACATATCAGTTAAGTTGCTTCAAGTTCTAGACGGAATGAAATGAAATGAAAATAAAATAAAAATTTTAACTCCCTGCCTCCTGGCTCTGTTCACATTGTTACCAAATCTAGAATGTCCAGTGCTCCCTCCCTTCACCTGGCTTTCTCTTCTCAGAAAGCCAACTTAAGCCCCACCTCTTCTGATTTCTCTGCCTACAACATGGGGTCATCTATTCTTTAGTTTTCTCTAGCTTTTTAGTTGTGTGAGTTTATCTCTCTAAAAAATCTCAAGGCCAGCAAATTGGCTCCACCCCCTCCTATTCCCACCCACATCCCTGAGAGCACCTGACACATTGAGTGGACATCCTGGAAGGCTTCCAACCTCCAACCCATAAAAACAAGTAATGGAGACTTCATCCAACAAATATTAGAGTATGAAATTATGTGTGTCTTTCTCAAATGAATCTAAATTTTCTCCCACCAACTGAGCATTTTCTGCACCCCAGCTGGGTGTCTATTGCAGGT